TCTTGTTAACTACATTTATAGACAAATTTATTGGACTGTTTTTATTTAAATATTTCGGGGGGGGGAAGTTATTCTGTTACGTGCGATACGGTCCGGCAAACACGATTTATATATTAAAATAATAAAAACATGTAAATATTTTATTCTATTATTTAAAGAATTTGAAAATTCGAAATACTGTACTCGGAATACGTGATGTAATTATGTTTTATTATTATAAAAATTCTGTTTTCTCTATAGAGAAATTTAAAATATATTATAAATATTTAATGTTTTTATTTTATTTGTGGGATTAAACGATTGATTAAATGGTTATTTAGACTCATTTTCTTTCATTTTTCGAGTTACTTTATGCTTTTTTCTAAAATAAATATAATTGAAAACAAATTTTTAACTTTTATATTAGAGAGGTTGCGGCCGAAGTTTTCATCTATAAAACGTGAACGCCGAACGTCGAGCCTCAAGCGGCACTCGACGTTCGACGTTCACGTTTTAGAGATAAAAACATCGGCCGCGACCTACCTACTAATAGACATTCAAATTTTCGTTTCAACAACAACATAAAATATCCTAAACGTAAAATTAAAAAAAATTTCTAGAGATTTATTGTCAACTGTTTCTATTGCAAATCTTTTACAATAATTGTAAAAATATGCCACAAACAAACCAATTCACGAAAAACCATGCACATGTTAAAAGTGATTGTTTTACCAATTAATTACATTGAAACTTCATTCACTACAATACCACAACAAATGTATACGTAGAATAATAAACCTCGCAATTAACATCTGGCTAATAGAGAAGCTGATTAGGTGCTGTATGTTAAATTCTCGTGCATTTAGATATATATCGCGATGCTGAAGCTATTTTGGAAAATTCAAATGTCTGCACACAAAAATTAATTGTTTTAGTTTTTCTCAGAAATAAATACCATAAAGTGTTTATACTTTACATCAATTCTTTTTGCTTTTTCTTTATAAATCTTTGCAGTCTTTTATGTTAAACTTCTATTGCACATGTACAGTAAAATGTTACAAAAATATTTACATGCATTTGCACTTATTTCAACTGTAAATTTTAGGCATCAAATATAGAAAAAACTCATTTCTTTATAAAATGTCAACGTAATCACAATTGATGTAAACCTATATTTACTTTATTATAACTTCGAGGTTTTGGAATAGACAAAACGTTTTAAAATGCTATTATTTTGAACGTTTTTCATTCTAAAGTGCAATCAAGAGTGTAGCCAGTGTAAAGAATTCTTGGATGTTAAATTCCACTATGAACTGTTTTGTATTAAGCACTCTGTGAGAGAAAATAAATATTTTATTTATCACAGGTCGATGAATGTGATTTAGAAAGTGGTGGAGAGTATCTTGTTTTAGGCGCAATAAATTCACAATTTACAATACATAAAATATTTTTTAAATAACCGTTTATTTTGTCTATAAGTTAAAAATGTTTAACTTGTGAGTATAAAAATGCAATTTGAAACTATATTTCATTTTCATGACGATAACCTATAAACATTTCTTGAAATTTTTAACATTTGCAGAATGAAGAAGATTCCTATTTGTTCAATTTAGAGTAGTGACTGTCGAAAATGAAAGCCATTTTTCTGTGTGTTTCATTTATCGGAATTTTCAACGTTATTTCAAGTAAAGGTGAGAATTATATATTTCGGAAGATCTAATAAAAAATTGGTTTTTTTAAATATTTTGTTTACGGCAACGATTTTCGAGTTTTTAATGTTCCTACTGCACTTCCTATCTTGGATTTTGCAATTAAAGGTAAGTTGTGTATGTGTAGTTCTAAACTCTGTTTCNTTATTAGCGAGGTTGCGGCCGAAGTTTTCATCTATAAAACGTGAACGTCGAACTTCAAGCGCCGCTTACAAGAAGCGGCGCTCGACGTTCGACGTTCACGTTTTACAGATGAAAACTTCGGCCGCAACCTCGCTATTATGTTTCAAAAGCTTTAATGTTATTATATATATTTTTAAATCTTTGCCTCATTTGAATACTTAACAGTTATTTACTTTGTTTTCGTACTTTAAATATAGTTATTTAAATATAGAATAACGGAAACGTATGTTGATGAATGAGGTTTTGACGCTCTTGTAACATCTATCATCATTTAAATTGGTTGTATTTCTAAAAAAACAGGCTACGGAATAGCTCGACCTGATAGAACAAATTAAAAAAATAATTTTATTAATTAAAGCGGAATATAATCATTAATTACTTTAATGCTATTAATTTTCACTTAAATATTGATAACGACGTTTGATTAATTTATAATGTCGGCAGATTAAATTATTAAAAAGTTAAATTATCGTGCATAAAATAATAATTCGTTTTTTTATTGAATAATTTTAAAAAAAAGAATTGATTTATAAGTAATGTCTTTGAGATTTCTATAAACGTGAAGCCCAGACTAAATTGTCCTTCTGGCTTTCTTGTTAGAACATAAATTGCAATAAGATATTAGAGACGTTGCGAAAACGTGTACTTCGGACGTTCAGCGCCGCCTTCCTGTAAGCCTAGAAGTTTGACAATGGCGTTTGGAACGCCAGTGGAATCACGCTCGACGTTTCAAACGCCATTGTCAAACTTCTAGGCTTACAGGAAGGCGGCGCTGAACGTCCGAAGTACACGTTTTCGCGTTGAAAACGTTGGCCGTAACCTCTCTATTTATCATCGTTTATATCTTATTGAAGATGCTTTGGATAGGATTTTTATTTTCCTTTTAAAATCGAAATTCTATTTTTAGATGCTCGTAAATTCTCAAAGTGGAACATCTTTTAGACAGAAATCTTTTCGATAAATATCATATTATAACTTTTTAAATAAATATACAAAGGAAATCTTCGTGTTAAATCCTTCTATGAACGATTGAATTTCATTAGAATTATGTTTAAAAACTATTATATTTAAATAGTCGAAACCTTCGTAATGTATAAAAGTTATCTTGATGTTTATAAAACTATTCTTATAGCATATTAATAATTATTTTTCAGATTGTCTCGAATATAATTCTTTTAGTTGTCTTGTTAATTTTAATAAAATCCATAGAATAAAAAAACAAATATTAATTTTATTTTTAAAAATAGCATCGATAATATAGAACTTTCATAATGTCTTCATTTTATAGTTCAAATTTCTCTCCCTTCTTTCCCACAGTTAAGGGTATATAACGCCCTTCTCACATTATTTTAACTGCAAAGATTTCATTAAAGATTAAAATTTTGAGCGATTTTATTACATTAATCCATTGTGATACAAAACTTGTAATAATTTTTTTTTTTTTTAATTTGATTTCGTAATTTCTTAATGTTTAATTTTTATTTTAATTTGTAACTCCTTGTTTTTTTAGGATTTACGGTTAACCTAAAATCATGTTAAAATTTATTTTATTTAATTATTTTTTTTTTGTTCTCTTGATTTAAAATTTTCCCCATTTAATTCGTATTTCTTCAAATTAAACTGATTTTTTTTTCTGCACTATTTATTCCCAATTTGAAACAATTAAAATTTGTATAAGAAGCCCTTTATTATTTAATTTTATCAACAAGTCTTTTCAAATGTTTTCCCTTTCGGTTTATAATTGATAACAATTGAATTAACCCACAAATATTCTAAGAGTTTACGTTTGATTTTTCTATCTTTTCGATCAAATAATTGTAATAAATTAAATATTTTGTATATATAATTTTATTTAGTTATGTTTAATTTCAAAAAAAAAAAAAATCAATAAATGGGTTTGGTAATTGGCAATATATTTAAACAATTTAATTTTATCTTTATTTTCGCTTAACAAAGAGATTTAAAACATCTTATAAGCTTATTCCAGTTTTATACTCTTAAATCACAACACTAACACTTCAAGGATTCTTGTTTACTGATTATTGAGGCTATTTATTGTCACGCTTCACGCTCAACAATGCTATTTGTTTGAAGAATGAAAGTAATTTAATTAATGTTCGTACTCGAGATTTTTATGCATCATTCAAACATTTCCATTTACTATTTTACATTCAATTCTATTATGTATTGATAGATAAGTTTTATTAATTATTTTGAATTTTTTTATGATGACAAACGTTAAGTCCAATAGTATAAGAGTTAATTCCAATAATAAAATGATTTTAAGAGGTAATTTTATGTGTTTAAAGCATAGTGAAATTTTGTTTTGATTGATTAATAACGTTTATTGACTTAGTGTATTTAAGATTCTTACACACGAGTGAACTTAGGGTATTTAACTGAACTTGACATGACGTTTATTTTACTTTCAAGTCTTAAATCTTTCTTCTTAACCTATTTACAGATGTCTTGTGACGTCACCGGTTCAGTGAATGGTTAAATTCAGGTCATATGCGGATCACACCCTAACCTTAAGGGTTTTAAAGTACGGCTATTATATATCGTAGATATTAGAAAATTAAAAAAAATTTTTTGTACTTTTTTCAAATAATTTAAGTAATGTAAAATTTATATATACATTATAGTAAAGTTAGACTAGACCTAATTGAAATTGTAAATGGAAATTCATAGAATGGATAGTTAAAAAAAAAAAAAAAAAAAAAGCAATCTTATCATTGTTTTTCACATGTACAGAAATTTGTAATAAGATACATAATGCAGTTATAATAAAATATTATTTTTAATTAATTCAAAGTACGTTAAAATATGAAAATAATCGCACACTATGTATTTATATTTTAGAAAATACAAGGGAAGTGGTGCTTCCTCAGCTTCCATGGACAGCATGCCACTGGTAAATTCCTCAAAAAGTTTGTTTTTCTTTTTTTTTATTACTTTTTTTTATTATATTATATTGATTCTAAGGAGGAAGATCAAGTATGCATGAAAATACTAACTGAATCAAAATTTTAAGAATTCTCAAGAAAGACTAATTTTTTTATTACAGTATTGCAATGCATTAAATGTTTCAAATATTTTTAATATAAAAACTTAATATATTAAACTTACTCTTCAGCAACTTCACTTCCACTGCCTTCTGGATTAAATGACTCATCAGATTCATCTTCTGATGAGCCTTCTGCTCCTTCTCTTTGTCTTCCTTCATCCTTAACTCTTTGAAGATATGCATCAGGTTCATCTTCCATATCTGAATCAACAATTTCATCTTCCTTATATACAGGTTTTTCTTTAGACTAAAATTAAAAATCATATAAGATTTATAATAACTAAAATTACAAACTTAAAACCATTAAAAATATAGTTATCAATTTACTCTAAATAAGTTAGCTATTAAGTTTAAATAATATAAAACAGCTGACACTTATTTTTAATAATTTATAATTTCTGGTCATCATCAATAAAATTTTGGTTAGTTTATTTGTACAGATTATAATCTAACTATAGTCAATTTCATATATAACTTATGGTTTAATATCAATTGCATAAGATTACATCTAAATCTTATTACAAATATATGTTTCTTGCAGATTTATCATCATGAATTGTGATATATTTTCATTTTTTAATGTTCATGAAACTATCTGAAAAAATAAATCATTACCATAATGATTAATAAATTTTCTATGAAACAAAACTNAATATAGCGGCGCTCGACGTTCGACGTTCACGTTTTAAATAAAGATGAAAACTTCGGCCGCGACATCGCTAATAATAAAATAATAATTTATAAAAGAGATAACACTTTATATTAATTTTGTTAGGAAAATATTTATAGAATTATTAAATAATTATTTATCTTTCGTCAATCGTATCCTTAGGCGTGTTAATATGTATATATAATTTTAATATTTAATATCATGAATAATTTTGTTAATTGTAATTTTTCTATTCGTTGGTGTAATGACATTTATAAGGAAGTGATTATCCCTTAACCGAAAAACAAATCAAAACATTATTATCGATATTAATTGACCGATCGGAACCTCTAATAACGGCCATTTTAATGTTCAGAGGTTTGACTGTATTTGAAATCTTGTTTATAAATAATAATTTTATTTGTTTAATACCGATAATTATTTAAATTAAATTACAAAACAAATGAAATAATTGAAAAATTCTCTTGTATTTTCTTACTTTCTTGTGTTTTTTCTTTTACACTAATCGAAATTGTCGCCATCTATCGTAGATTAATTGAAACGGTAGAGAATATCAAGTTCTGTTCCATTCTAATTATTTTTATATGTTTCTTTGTTCTTTTCTCTCCTTTGGAGAGATCTCTACATAGAAATTATATATACAGGTTAATATATATTTCGTTTTAAATAGGAACAAAGTTGTAAAGGAAAGAAATATTTCTTTTAACATGTAATCCAAGATTTGCTATGTTGTATTTTATTCTAGTCTTATTAAAGGATATTGTAGTCAGATATTTTTATATTTTCCCCCTCCTTTATATCAAAGTTTAAGGAAGTTTTTCTAGTTATTAGGTTACTATTTATAAATTGTATAGAAAACAATTAATTATCGTTAATTATTTTTGACGGAATTCAATACATTTAAAGAGGTTGCGGATTAAGTCTTGTCTTCGCACTTTATTATATTTTGCTTTCGTTTTTATTTTATAATACAAAGGTATATATCAGTAAATTTTTCAAAAATAAACAATTTTTAAATGATTTTACATTTATTTTTGTAAACGTAGGTCCAGGTGTGTAAGCTAACTGAAATTTCAAAATTTAGAAACTAAAATGGCATTAAAAAATACATTTTACATGTGATAATAGAACGGTTTGCTTATTAGGCAATCCTATAAATTCTATAATATAGAAATAACGTTTTTTCTGCTTTTATTAAGTTATCATCAGCCACAGAAATACATTGCATGTGGTTGATTATGGCCAATGAAAACTCCTCTAAGTTATATAGTTAATATGCTGTATATATGGCATAAGCAGATTGCTAACAATATTACATACTATAATGCTTCTGGTATTTCAGTTTACTCAACTGATCACAGCATTTAATGTTACATTTATCCAGAGTAATAGATAAAAATTATACTCGATTTATACTTATAACACTATCCTTAAAAAATGCATTATTCAGTATTCGAATAAACTGGTTTTAGTACAATACGCTGATATGTTTACATTTTTTAAGTACAGGATTATAAGTGGGCATCATTGCAACTAAAGTGATGAAGAAAGTTCTCACATTCCCCATTACGTACTGACCCTAATGACTTAGAAACTTCAAAGACATAGACACAAAAGTCAGAATAACTGTAGCCAATCTTTACAAACCGTCTCTTGAATAATTTACCTAATGTCTTATCTTTCGTTCGTGTTCCTTGTCAATTGTCTTATTTTTCTTCCACTGGTAATAAATATACATTGCAGAAATACGGACACTAGGCTTTTCGTGCTTCTTGATTTTCTGTCCATAATACTAGAGAGGTTGAGGCACAAGTTCAAACGTTAAACGTGTACGGGTAGCAGAATAAAATAAATAAGTAGAGAGGTTGAGGCACAAGTTCAAACGTTAAACGTGTACGGGTAGCAGAAGTACACATTACACGTTTCAAGTCCAAGTAAAAATCGTTGAGGCACACGTTCATAACATCACATGACTCAGTGAACATCGCGCATTGACTCACGGGAAATAAGTTGAAAAAAATGGCGGAAGCAAAATAAATCATAATTTTTACCCCAAACACAAAAAATGAAGACGTTTAAGCCGATCGTGTACTCACCAAGCTACACGTAGCAAACGCCATTATCGACGGTCCAGAACTGCCAGATGGTGGCGCTAACCCGTTACCCGTACACGTTTTGGGCTAAATACATGTGCCTCAACCTCTCTACTAGCTCCTCTAACTTTCAGTGTTCATCAGTGGCCAAGCGGCCACGTGGAGTTTTCCGGGTTTTTTCCACGTCTGTAACGCCTAAATAGAGACCAGTTTCCCTAATAAAGACCTCCCGGAAGGCATCCCCTGAGGTAGATCGCCAAGTGTTGCGTTGCCATAACTTAACAAGCTCTAACTTCCAGTCAAATTAGTTAATCCAATCCTATTTAAAATGAAAATTGGAGCGATCTGTAGCCAATCAGCATATACAAAGCAGTATGTCTTCTTCAATAAGTTATAGGTGAATAGCATAGCTGTTGTCTTTTGATTTTCAGGTTTAATAGAAGTATAGTAAGTAATTGAGGGAATCATTAAAATGTCTGTTTTTTTGCCCTTACGTTTTATTCAAACGGTTCTTTTGGTCGACAGGGACCAACTCGAGTTTATTATTAAATTGGTAAATGTCGCAGCAAAATATGCTCTGTCGGTCTGAATGGCAAGATAAATCAAAGTAAGTTTACATGAATGAATCTTTATTCAGTTCATTACTACTGCACTGTTAATTAGCTTCTGAAAGCACAAGAAGTAATTAATCATATGATTTATGAATACTTACGAAAAGTATTTGAGTACCAATATTCAGGACCACATCTAGCAACCGCAGGACGAGTCCTGCGGTTGCTAGATGTGGCCATAATATTTCTATCATGTACGTACAGAAAAATACAATAATAAAACTACATAGATTAAATAATTTATAATAATATAAAGGTGTAAAAAATTCAGAAACAAAAATTAAGAAAAATATAAATTAAAAGAATTGTATTATAAAATTTATTTACCATTTTTTATTTCAGCGAAATGTTTAATTACATCGTCAAAATCTAATTTTTCACATATTGACAACAGTAGTTAAGCAATCATTGGTAAAATAACGAACGAAATACGGGAAATAGCCTAACCTCTGTCTGTAGTATGTCACATTATGTACGAGCAAAACAGTTTCAAGCCTGTTTATATTTCTTGTGTTTGACATCATCTGACAAGCGCTGTACGCAAACCCTAAGGATCGCTAATTAGCTGACAAGGAAAAGTTTGTTACAATAGAAAGTATAGGAAGTTGAGTATCTAGGTGTATTTAATCTATTGGAAGGGCATTCGACCATAAAACGAAACCAAATCTGGAAAAATTAGCGATCTTATGAAAAGTAAGACTAATACTGTAGTACTAAACAATAAGAAAGAGGACATATTAACAGATTACATAAATAATTAACTAGCAGATGAGCCCGTCATTGCCCGGGCAAAAAATAAAAACACCAGAGTTTAAGAAGTACGAAATAATCTAACAGATTACTTCTAACCCTTCTATTATATTACATTACAGTATTTGATTTATATAATCACAGAGGTTATGTTAGGTAAGTGTTTATCACATCAAGTGACCAATCTAACACATTTAAAAATCTTTTTAAATTGTGTAGAGCCACCGTTTCTCAACGGATACGCTTACATGGGAGACGTGCGACTAAATATCCAGATGGCACAACGCTCTGATTGATCGGCTGAATGGCTCAACCTACTGGAAATGTTGATCAATTAGCTTAAACTATGTAAGAGTTTTGAGAGGGGCAGACGTTATAATTATAGACATTTCATCTAAAACTCGATAAAAGGCACTTATTTATAATTTCACTAGCTCATGTGTGTATTGACATTAATGTTAAAATTATTGCAAAATTTTCAATTAACCCTACAGAAACTTGTATTTAATATTTTATATATATATATATATATNATTTCATTGTTATCCACATTTGATATCATCACTTATCACATAGCTGTCATGACGCTCATGTCGGTCCGCTTCAACTGTCAAGAATTAACGCGATTGGCGAAGCGTAGTGACAGCGGGCCAATAGAGAGCGGGGTCCTTGCCATAATGCGGTTTGCGCGCCAATTTTCGTACGTGCGATAATCGAGCCGAATAGTTTGGCCGAATATTCGGCTATTCGGCCACGCTCCTGGCCGATTATACTATTCGTTACAACACTAGTGAAAACATTACAGTACAAATACAACATTACTTTTTCCTGGCACTTATATTAATAAACAATTTCCATGATGAAATGTGTGGAAATTCTTATTTAAAACATATTCAAAGGAATTTAAATACTTACAGTATTATTGATTGTTAAATAATTTATACAAGAATTCTATACTTTTAATTTGAAAAATAGTCATACAAATTTTATTAAACATATTTACAGATATATCTATTATGGAACTGGATACACGAAATTTCTGAATTTGAAAAGTATTGTTTCTTAACACACAGATTTTGAACTGACATTCAAAAGCACAAAATATCTATCGATAGAAAGAACTGTCAATCCTAAATACCAAAGCATTAAAAAAAATTTTCTGATGAGATTAATCTATGGAGAATTGGCCTATTCTTTATTCAAAATTGTTCAATAACTTTTAAATTTAATTTGTTAAGCAAGATTTATGAAAATTTCTCTTTCAGAGGTATACAAAACTTAGCTAATTTTATTGTTTCATCTAACTATATTAAATGCGTGTGAGTTGTGCCATCTGGATATTTAGTCGCAGGTCATGGGAGCGATATCACCCCCGTTTCTCAATGGGGGAGATTTTCCATGTTGAGGGGGCGATTAGTAACAATTTATATTTTGGGGGGCGAAAAACAATTTTCTGGGCGATATAGTAAAACATTATATTAAGAATAATTAGATATTTTATTTGTTATATCGTACAATAATTAAACAAATAACATTATACTAGTCACAAGTCAATTCAATGCAGTACGAATTTGGGGTTAGTCTTGATCCTCGTCATCGGAATTTTGAAGTGAAGGGGACGACGATTCGTTAGAGGTTGAGAAACACTGGTGTAGAGAAATAATAGTATATTATACAATTAGTTTATAATTAGTTTATAATATATGTGAAAGTTTGGCACAAGAGCGGAGCGAGTTGGCCAGTTTCCATGAATACCATAATCGCTAATTATAAACGTATTGTCATACGGTATTTTGTGGTTAAACTACACCTATAACAGTATACATATGGAAATCAAAATCATCTATAAACACAATGTTTGTGTCATAAAATTTTTATGGCACAGCTGACACAAACAAAAAATTGAAAATATATTTAAAATTTTTTAAGATATCGTATTTTTTCCTGATGTTAACTGTAAGAAACTGTATCATTCTCAGTCGAACATCAAACGGCAACCTGCCAACGAATCAAATTTCGCGAAAAAACAGACCAAATACAGTCGACCCCCTATAACACGGTAGATACGTTCCGGTTTTTATGAATCCATTTTCTACGAGTCCAGCCAATCACTGCCCGGCACGTGTAAAGTTTACGTACTACGTCTGTTTAAAAGGTTTTCTTCCATAAAATTAATCGATTCTAGACTAATTCGACTCAACATTTCCAAAATACGTATACTTATTTTTGGGAATAATCCATATAAACTATGCTATAAACAAAAAATTGTAGGATTACTTACCGAGTGTGAACCGTTCGATGACGCTACTGCTTAATTAAGCTTGTTTTCGTGGAGCTTGTCATCGAATAACGCTCTCGCGCTTCCTGATAAATTATTCTTTTTGCAAAAAATTCGCTGAACTTTGGAGACATCATTAATATAAATATAATTTTTATGGCCGTTAAATAATAAATGCTTTTTAATAGGTCTGCTGCTCGTTTAAACTCAACGGTTTGTACAATATCCGCTATTGGTCTAGATTCGACCAATCCTGTCGCAACACGAGTCGGCGATGACGTTTTACAGAATTATAGGAGTTTTTTTAGCGTGTTTGTACGAATACTGTCGCAATTTTTTCGCCGTCATATATGAATCCGAACTATATGAACCCGTTTAAATAGGGGTCTACTGTATCTAAACTCGACACCCTCGAAAATCTTTTAAAACATATTTTGTGCTTGCAGGTAACCTTGTATTATGTAATTTTCCTATTCGAGTGACACCATACAGCTGGGTCCGTTAGAAAGAAGGGATTGTTTGCGAAGGGGGTCGAAGAAATTCGACCAAAAGTAGTTATTAACCTCCCTCCGGAAGAGAGGATAGTCGACGACTACTAATTAATATTGGTCTACTATTAATATTTGAAAAGTGATTTGTGTTAGACGGGTTGTGATGGCCCGCAAGTGATCGAAGTTGCTAACCTTAACGTCCGACGAAACACTTCGTATGACTTGTTTAAATATAAAAAAAAATCTTATAAAAAATGCATTGCATATTCAATGTGACTATCCCGTTGGCCATGCCCGAACCCACCGCTCAAATTCGATGTGACCAGTGTTCGGTGGTTTAATCCACTCGGCCACTAGAAGGCACTTGTTAAAATTAAGAAAGTACCGTTCAGAAATAAAAGAACTCGAGTTAGATGTGGAAAATTAAATACTTGTAGGCTTTTCACAGTCTTAAACACTTGATTTCATGAAGGCAAGTGCTATATGCTACCTGTCTCAGTAAGTTGTCACAGTAATTAAATGAATATAATATATATATATTTAAATTATATATATATTTTTTGTAAGAATTGTATTTAGTTTATTATTTTGTTAATTTTTTTTGCTAACAGATAGCGCTACGTGTAACTAAGCAATTGGAATGTAGATAGAAATTAATTGATTTACAGAAATGCAATTAACATTTTGGGGTGGGATATACGACATTATTTAATTTAGAAGAATTTGCCGAGTTTCGTAACAATTGGTCAAACGGCCTAAGAGTGTATAGCGAACAAACAAACAAACAAACAAACATATCCATTTATTTGGTAGGTAATAGCTACTCAGGAAAAATCAATAAATAATTATAACTAAATTAATTTTATTGAATTATCAATTACTAGCTGCTAAGCCCAGCGTTGCTCGGGCAAAAAGTAACGTTAGCGAAGATTAAGATTATTACATTACAGCCAATCTTACCCGTTTTCACAGAATGCACGAATTAGATCCCCCCTGTTTCCAGACTAATTAAAAAATTTTTAGATGGGTCTAAAAATATGTTCGATTTTCCGCAAAAACGAAAAAAAAAAAAACCGCATCTGCGCCTGTAAATCTTGCACGTTGCTTTCTCTGAACACTTTCATTGCTGAAGCCTTAATTCTGTCTCTCTCCCTTCCGGAGGGGAATTTCGAAAAATCCCTTCTTAATGTAGGTTCTCGTGACGCACTCTAACTGTGTACCAAATTTCAAATTTCAACACCTGGCCGTTTAGTCTCTGCGCTGATTATTATTATTAACAACCCATCTCGATTATATATATAGACTAGATAAGGCTTGGCTCCGAAGAAAAATCTAAAATATATTTATAATCAGACATAATTACATTTCCAGTAAATATATATAGGATATATTTATATGCTTTACTGTGAATAAAGCTTTACGCTTTAATAAATAAGTAACTATTGATTATTTTTTTCTCTTTAGACCTCACAATTAATGAATTGATTTATAAATAACTAGGAGGTAGGCCCGGCATTGTTCGGGCAAAAGTAACGATAGCGAAGATTAAGATTATTACGTTATAGTAAACCTTACCCGTTTTCACAGAAAGCAAGAATTGGGTCCCCTGTTTCCAGACTAATTAGAGAATTTTTAGATGGGTCTAAAAATATGTTCTATTTCCCGCAAAAACGAAAAAAAAAAAAAAAACTGCATCTACGTCTTGCACGTCGCTTTCTTTTAACAATTCCATTGTTATGTAACACTTCCATTGTTGACACTTCCATTGTGACTTAAGGCTTAACACTTCCATTGTTGATGGAAGTGTTAAGCCTTAATTCTGTCCCTTTGCCCCGTGGGGAGGAATTTCGAAAAATCCTACTACAGAACACGACGCCGTACGCCAAAGATATAAACTCTTGGAGTCTAAGTAATTTGTATCCACTTCCTACTCGTACTAAACAATAAGTATGAATAAATTACAGATTTGTCAAGATTGATTTTAAGTTTAGCTATTGACAAACATATTATTTCAATATAATGTTTTCATTTGTTGAGAATGTTTCTTATTCTACACTATATCTTGCTTTTCTAGCACTCATTTATTACTTTATTTTTACTTATTGAAATGGTTTGCTTAAAATGTAATTAATTTTTTGTATTGATTTTGACAAAATCTCATATTCTTCAACATCCATATTGTTGTGATCGGTTGAAAAGCTTCATAAAAGGCTCAATTATAGAAGCCATCATTTTTTTCTCCTTGAAAATGTCCTTGTTTTAGTATTTCTTTGTAAATTAATTCTCGAATTGATTTCAATTGAGTCATCTTACTGCTCTAGGGAATCGGGATCGAGTCAGGTAAACAATCTCAAGAGTTTCTCATGGGCATGTAGGGCCCCATTTATAACCAGTTAATGCACAAAGCCCTCTTAATGCATACGGAGAGTAAAGAGTAAGAAAAAAAATGCTGTAAATTGATCTGAAAGATTATTTCTACTAAATTTTAATTAAATAGAAACGTTATTAAGGCATACTGTATGTAATAACTATCTACATTCATTTTCAAAGTGACATTCCTGAAAGTTTTGTTATATAAATCATAAACAAATAAAGCTATTTGTTACTGAAAACATTGAAGTTTTAATTATTTTATGACAGTGTAAATGATTTGTTTAAAAATGATTTAATTTAAAGTTAAGTTCGCTATTATACAGTATAAATTATTTTATTAATATATCGTATTTAAAAGAATATTTATTTTTATGAACATAAGATGGCGCTACGATCACTGTCAAGGCCTTTTTTTAAATATTTGAATATATTTTACTGTATATTTACTGTATTTACAAATCACTATAATTTTTGTAAATATTTTTATTAATTCTTCTGGCGTTTTATTTTATAATTATCTATACAAATACCAGATATGTATATTTACAGATTAATTTATATTTTCTTCAAAATTTTATACATATACAATGAAAAAAATTCTGATATTGTTCTGTAAAAGAAATACTTAAATTCTTCAATTAATCTATGTAAATATTATTATATTTTCTTGAATTAAAAAAAATATATATATATATATTCTGATGAAATTACTTTAATATAATAATTATTATTATTGTATTTTTCACAGGATTTATAAATTATTTTTTATATTTACTATCGTCTTCCTTCCAATACCGAAGATTTATCGAAGGAAGTTCTTCGCAAGGAATTCTCGGATTACTAAAAACAAAAATACATTATTAATAGTTATTCAATTAATATTTTTGAATGGATAGTTATATATATATATTGTTATTAATACTTATTGTTTAGAAAGTAAATAAAAAATATAGTATTTTCTAAAGCTTATATAAACGTACTATCTACGATGAGGTAATTTCATAGCCCACTTCTGTATAGTTGGCAAATCATCAGAATTATCGCATATTATTTTGGCTTGAGTACTTTTCCTTATTTCTTGAAGTTGTTCTGTACGAAAATTTTAAATTTTTTTCAACATTTCTAATTTAAATAACGATTTATCTAAGAAATAATCTTCTTATTACTTCATTAAAATTAAATCAATTAAAACAATTAAGAAAAATTTAGCTAAGTTTTTCTAATAATTAGGCTATAAATTTTCATCTAATAAATTATAATTATACTTCTTTTTTTTTTTTTAATTGAACTGAAACCAACCTGGAGTAAACGAAGATGGAAATCCATCATTTTCGTACCAAAATCTGTCGCCATGTCGTAAATAACTGAACTGTTTAGCTAAAAGACAAGAAAACGTTGGTCCCAAGACACTTCCGGGAAGTGGATATTCTGATATTCCAGCACTCCATAAGTCGATATCGTCAGGGTGACTAACATAGTACAGTGTATCATTTAACATTTTGACTTTTCCTATACATTTAGATATTAAAAATTTCAAAGGGGTAAAAGAAATTATATTTACCTATATATTTCAGAAAATTTAAGAGCTGTACGATTACTCAAATATGGCTCCAGATCTTCGAATGTTCGAGCTCTTGGAAAACCACAATATTCTCTGAAATTATTATATCCAGGTACTCCGTGATCTCTAGATCTCTGAATATTAATAGATGCCAAATCTATACCAAATTTTTCATCCGGTCTTTCAAACATATGATTTGTTACCTTTTAATGATTAAATTTAGAACATTTCCCGAGGATACTATTTTTTAGAGTAAAACTTAAAAATTTTTACCTCTTGAGAAACAAAAGGATCAAGTCTCTGAGAAGGTGTGTTTATCATTCCGACAGTCAGCTCGTCCATCATTCCGGGTTTATAAAGAATAAACGGTTGGCGAAGTACTTTCCTCAATTCGAATTCGTCTGCAATAAGAATTATTCATATAAACAAAGTAAATGATTAGCTAGAATGCTTACAAGTAGGAATGTGGTATCCTTTGATCATCAGTTTTGTTTATTAAGAGATAAACTGTTACGTAATATAATTACTTTTTTCTATATACTATAGTCCTTTATTACAAATTTTAAAGTTTGATTTGTAGTCAACACTATTTTCTTATATTTTAGATACCTTTTATATTTGCATATTTCAATTTTTAAGACCATTCTCCCGTATATAATATTATAATATAAATAACTCGTATTTTCAGAATGTAAAACACATACGTATATATATATTATATGTCTTTAGAAGATAATTAAGTTTTTAAAATCTATTTAATATTCTAAACATATTATAATAATTTGTAACGATAATGCCCCGTCTGCTTACAAAGGAATATGTTGCATAGCAGGTTTTAATTAATTTTCGGTTGATTAAATTAATTATAATGTAATAAGTGTCGCAAAAATTAACAGATAATATTCTACTTGAAATCAATATATTCTTTTTAAACTATTAATAAATATTTATTAAGATAAAAATAGGAAAAAACAAACTTTAGACAACACTATAATCAAATTTGCCTGGGCACATCAAACTATAACTCGCAATTGGAGCTATAATTTCTATATTCAAATGTTTCCAAATGCTTTTTCATACGAGTTTTTCTTGCCTTTTTTTTTAATAGTTTTCGTCTGTAAACCGAAAGTATTTCGTTTTATTTAAATAGACATTTTAGATAAATTGTTTTTGGACAAATGTAGAACAATTTTTTTTTTTGTTTTCTTAAATATTTATAAAGGAAAAAACAAACATTTTAAAGTCTGAAAAACTTGATATTCTTCTATTCTGTATAATTTGTAATAAATTATCGAAGTAGTTTTTATCCTTTTTCTCTCTGGTTTAAGAGGGGGAAAAACAAAAAGATATAACAGCTGAGTTTTTACTCTTTTTATAAGTAAAATTAAATTAAGTATAAAACATAGAATTTCCTAAATTTAAACTATTTATATAAATTTAGATTTTCTCCAAATAATGAGGATATAAATTATTTTTTAAGATAATGTAACAGGTGTTAATACTTCCTGATTGTAGCTGATTTGTACGGACTTATGGCATGATACCTATGTGACATCAGGAAGCATTTTAGCGAGATTATGGCCGAAGTTTTCATCTGCAAAACGTGAACGTCGAACGTCGAGCGCGCTATCTTGTAAGCGGCGCTCGACGTTCGACGTTCACGTTTTGCAGATGAAAACTTCGGCCGCAATCTCTTTAACATTTCTCGTAATAGCTTTTGTATAATCATTAAAGAAAGTATATTTTCTGTTATTACACAGAATAAACACAACGTATATTTTACTTAAAAATACAAAAAAAAAAAAATTGTAAATATTTAAATTGCTTTGTCGTACAATTTTATATTAATTTTTTAATTGTATGTGAGGTAATTTTTTTAAGTTACTTTTTATTTCTGTTTAACGAGTTGTTGTCGATATTTCAATTAGGTCAAAAATATTTATTTCTATTACGTAATACTTAAATTAAAAATAAAATTTTATTTTATACAAATGGAAGAAAGATAAAATGCTACAATATACTAAAACTGTAGCTACAGTGTTTATCGAAGAAGCAATTTAAATCAATCTTTCTAGTATTATAACATGAAACACGTTAAAATACCATTAATAAACTTTAATTTCAGCTTTCGATAGGTATATTTATAAAGCATTTATCATTTTAAATCTGTTTCGATGAATCCTACATTTGTATTTATGTTTACAGTATACATAACACTGTATTAAAAATGAACTTCCTGCTTTCCGAACTAATAACCCGAATTATTTTAATGCTAGTTTAATTACATTTGTAATTTTTGTATTATATAATATTTGGAAGTATATTGGACAGTGGCCGAAGTCGACGTATTCGATTGTTATCGGTTGTTTGGCCTCGTTTAAATGAACCCTCTGGGCATTTTCTTTCATTCAATAATAATAATAATCGAGATTATTAGTACAATTTAAAAGTCTGTTTAAATGAAGAAAATACTTACCAACGTATTCGTGATATTTATTATATCTTGTAACAGTTCCTTGAATCTGAGAGTGTCCAAAACGAAATACGGCAGTCTGAAAGGAATTGGACAATCCTAAATGGACATCAGGATTAAATCCGTACCAGTAACCCTGAAATATTTAAATCTATATATATAATCAATGTTAATCTTAATGAAATTAAAATAAATATTACATAAAAATCGACTAACTTCGTCTTTTAATGTTAAATTATAACGTTCTAGATAATCGTCGTTTAATAATAAAGGAATGTATTCGTTATAGGTGATGTGTTGAATGACTGCTGCTAAAATTCGACGAGTTTCTTGATATATTTTCTCGTCGTCCCAATGGTAATTTATATCTCCTAATATTTCGGCAATCCTGTTATGTTCTCTAACGTATAAAGTATGTAAAATAGCCAGATGTATTTGTTCGTTAGCTCGGCTATCACCTGAATAATTTAATTAATCATTTGTAAACAAATATCAAAAGTTTCATTCTTTTATTTAAAAAATAATAATAATAAGAATTTTACCAGCATTAAAGCAGAATATGTCTCTTGGTCTGGCAATGCATTCTCTTTCTGGAGTTAAGGTCAATGGAGGAAGCAGAGGTTTCAATCCTTCTATTTTAAACATATCCCACGTTTTCATTAAGCCTTTATGGTAAATGAATTAATATTAATATTAAATAAATTTATTATTATTATTATTAGCAAGGTTGCAGCCGAAGTTTTCATTTCTAAAACGTGAACGTCGAACGTGGAGTGCCGCTTCTTGTAAGTGGCACTCGATGTTCGACGTTCACGTTTTAGAGATGAAAACTTCGGCCGCAACCTCGCTATTATTTTTCGTTAACTGACCTCTATATCCGGTACGTAGCTGTCTAGCTAGTTCTTCCGTAGAGCCATACATAAAATTTGCATCTATGGGACCAGTGAGCATATTTTGCACCGAGCGAGGTCCTGTATTTAGAGAGTGTCATTTTTTTTACGCTTTTCTTAATGAATTTTGAATTATACGAATTATAAATTTACCTAATGTACAGTCGGGTCGTTGCGTTGCTAAATTTCTTTTAAATTCCAAACAGTTTCTATTAAATCGTGAATAAAACGGATCGTCTTTTGGAACTTCGATCTCCATGCAAAGTGGATGTTTTTCTTTGTTATTTTTACCGCAGCATTGAATTCGTTGGCCATTATTACCTAATTAACAGAATTAATTAACTTTATATTTTTGTAGATAAATTTTTTTTTTGCTTTTAAAAGTTATAATAGACTCCAATTATATCTTGAAAAACATAATTTGCAGGTTAACTTCATAAAAGTTTCTCCAATTAAACTTACCTTCGGGCAATGTAGCAAAAGTAAGATCGTGATCGATGAATTGACCAAAAGACATGAACAATACGGTAAATTTTTCACTCGGTTCATTGTAATCGCGATGAACTATCGAACTTATCAATCGGGGAGAAGGCAAAGGTTTACCAGTTACCGAAATACGACTGGTAGAAATTCCTAAATTTAATATAAAAGAAATCAATATTTGCATTAATAAATATTAATCCATGTAAAAAAAATGAATTTATTTACACGATTAAAAAATCTCACCGTCTTCAAAAGCTGGGGGTAGGAATCTAACAAAAGCTGTGTGTGTTGCACCCCAATTAGATTGATGAATATTATTACAATGGGCCGTGTATGTTCGATATTTATCAATGGTGCACGGGATCGGCTTGACAAATGCTGGACAGATCGACCAAATGTCGGTTTTGCTAGTGTCAATGAGCGGTAGTCCTCTGATTATTTCTTCGTTGGATAATCGAAATCTGTGTAACAATATTCACGTGTTAATATCACAATGAAATTTTCTATAACATGTATTTTATTTGTAACTTACTGATCCGCTAGTATTCTAGTTACTTCCAAAACTAATTCTGATGTTTCTGCAATGTCAACGGGTTTCGGTTCCAACGTTTGATCGACTGAAACCGGATGTCTATAATCTAAAATGACAAAAAGTTTGCTTAATTTCCATTTTTCTTTTAAAAAATTTCAATAAAATTATCATCCAAATCATTTTAATAGTTATTAATCTAAATCTAATGATACTATATCATACTTATAAACTGAATTACCTTATAATTATGGAGATTATTAAATTATTAAGCACTTTTTATGAATGTATAGTACAATACTGTATTTGATAATCGGTTTTTAATTATTTTTTTCAGGGTTGCAGTAGAAAAACTAGACTTTATTTAGGTGTTAGATACTTAAAAAACCGCATAACATTACGTTGTTAATGAGGCCGAACTGTGTTTAGTGGTTTTATCCACTCGGTCATCGAATATATAAAAAAATAACGAAAAAACTACTAAATGAAATTTATATAAAACGAAATGACGGTTATTTTCTGATACGTAAATAATAATTTGGCATTATATTGGATATTCTTTGCGTTTAAATGTTTATACAGTAGATTAAGTAAAATAATAGAATAGAATGCGATTACACGTTACTATTATATTACTGATACGCTTAGTTAATGAAAAATAACACACCTAACCTGTTTTTTCGCTTTTTTCAGCCTGAAAAAAAATATTTAATTTAATTTAAAAAAAGAAAAATAAGCTTTCTTGGTTCGAATAGCGAAGCCTCAATTCTTGAATTAATTTTNTTTGCGAAGGGGGTCGAAGAAATTCGACCAAAAGTAGTTATTAACCTCCCTCCGGAAGAGAGGATAGTCGACGACTACTAATTAATATTGGTCTACTATTAATATTTGAAAAGTGATTTGTGTTAGACGGGTTGTGATGGCCCGCAAGTGATCGAAGTTGCTAACCTTAACGTCCGACGAAACACTTCGTATGACTTGTTTAAATATAAAAAAAAATCTTATAAAAAATGCATTGCATATTCAATGTGACTATCCCGTTGGCCATGCCCGAACCCACCGCTCAAATTCGATGTGACCAGTGTTCGGTGGTTTAATCCACTCGGCCACTAGAAGGCACTTGTTAAAATTAAGAAAGTACCGTTCAGAAATAAAAGAACTCGAGTTAGATGTGGAAAATTAAATACTTGTAGGCTTTTCACAGTCTTAAACACTTGATTTCATGAAGGCAAGTGCTATATGCTACCTGTCTCAGTAAGTTGTCACAGTAATTAAATGAATATAATATATATATATTTAAATTATATTTAATTATTTTTATTTTCCATGTTAATATCTTACTTGTTCTTCTTTTAGCTTCTGACAATGCTCTGTTGACATCTACGTAACGAATGCAAGTTTCTGTCTCTCGAGGTCTTCGAAATAGGAAAAAAAATCATATAAATACATATTTTACATATTTCATATAATATTTACTTATTAATGTAACTATAACCTTTAAAATTCATACTGTATAAATGTTAATTACCAGAGCTCTTTACTTATTTATCTTGTATAAGCCTACATAGCAATAGATATTACATGCAAATTATTCTTTTATCTCACCGTTATTTATTTGAAAATCGATAGAAATTGTAAATAAAACGTCTAAAACTTCTATCTTTGTTACAATAAAAGAATTAACGAATGTATATAATATATACATTATATATGAATTATGAATTAATTCTCTAGTTCAATACAAGTAGACCCCACTATAACACTGTTGATTATTCCATTTTATATGAATTCCATGTTGTACGAGTCACTTAGATTTTACAACTACGTGAGCCGTTCACAGCCCGGCACACGTATTTGTAGAATCTAAGTGACTCGTACAACATGGAATTCATATAACACGGAATTATCAACAGTGTTATAGGGAGGGTCTACTGTATACCAAGAGAAATTGACTTTAATTTTCTGCTGTTGTGTATTTAATTCTCAAATAAAAAATGATTTTACTAAATAAAAATCATGCTTAATTTTTCTTTTATATTCTCGATATGAAGTGTTTGTATCTCTTTTGATCTCATACATGTACTAATATACTGTGTACAGAAGAAATAACTTCATTAAAATGTCAGTAATCTGTCAGTTTTCTTCAGTTTCTTCTTCTTGATCGCCTGGAGTGTTCGAAATATATTTATAATCCATGACATAATCCTATATCTTTTTTACTGAATTCAATTTTTATTGAACTTAATTAATAATTACAAGAAAATATACAAATGATACGCCTAATTGAATATACTGTAGTTTTTAATTTCCAAGTTTTAGTATATGAAATAATAAATAATGAAGTGTAATTTATAATAAAACTTATCATTTGTATATATTATTAATGGTAAAATTTAAAATTTCTGTGTTTTTTTATTGTTATCTTAAATGTTAACTAATAGTGAAAATGACTATAAAAGGTTATAGGTTAAATTTGTAAGATATTATATAAATTTAATAGATATAATCTTGGAATATATTTTTAAATGATTTAAGTTAAAGGAAGATACCAGTTAATTTGACCATTGAAACCATGGGTATTGAACACTAAAGAAAGCTAACAGAAGAAGAATACAAGTAGCAGAAATGATGCTTAGGTGAATGTGTGTGGAATTAAGAAAGCTGGTACATTCGAGAAACAGTTAAAGTAGCTGTGTTTCCAACAATATACAAGAAGGCGAGAACAATATTATACGGGCCTGTCATGGAAGAAAGTCACCCGGAGATAGGAGGAAAACAGAGGAAGAGAAAGAGGAAGTGGATGGATATAATTAAAGTGTATATGAAGGAAAAAGAACTGGAGAAAAGAAAGATATGACTGCAAATCGGATACAATGAAGAAAACTCATCAAATACAGCACATAAAACTGGACAAGCTGCAATAGAAGAAGTGTAACTAAAGATTGATTTATATACCATGTTACATATATCGTTTCAAACCATTTATTATTAGAGTTTTGTTATAATTTAGAAAAGGTTTAAATTCAAAAAGATAACGATTTTTGTATTAATGCTGTAATAATTAGTTAAAGATTTATATCATTCAAAAATGTTGTACGAACTTCACGTTAGAGAAAAAAACCATTATTAATTCATTATTTCTTCAAGCAAGAAGATAGATATGTGAAGAATAGGAATAGAAAAGATATTAAAACTCTGTATTAAAATCACATATATTACAATAGCTTTTTGAGAACATTCAACACTATGCGTAAATATTTTAGAAAAATTCTTTATGCTCTTTTTACAATTATTTTGTATGGAAGAAAACAGAACTTTTAAGCATTATTCTGTTTTAATCTATGTACAAAATAATAACTAGTTGTTAAAATTATTATTGTTATGAATCCAGGAATTAAACAATGAAAACATTTCGATTTTTTATTAACTATAACTATTTTCCGCAGATTTTATTTAAATACATCAACAGTCTAATTGAATTACCTTTTATAAAGTATGGTAAATTACATCTTATTAATTAATTCAATAAATATTTAAACTAAAAAAAGAAAAAAAAACATTGAACATGCACTATTTGCCCCGAAGTGTAAACAATGGCATAGACCTATTTATAAGCAATTGCAATTACCCGAAGCGAATACTTCTCTATCGTTAACCAGTGTTTAGTGAGTGACAGATATGACAAGTGTATTAGGTATGCTGCGGAATAAGTATTAATAAGTACTTTCATTTTCAACTAAAGAATCGAAATTCATGAGAAAATGCTTGATTAATTTAAAATTAATTAAAATTTTCTTTATATGTTCTGGCACTAAAATCCCTTAGCGAATATTTATATATACCACGAAAAAATTCGAATAAGTCTACTCATATAATAAACTCATCATTAACTTTATAATTGGGAATTAATACATTGTAATTTTGTAATTCTTTGTATTATATTATATTTATATTCGACATTCTATCAAAGATGATCATTTTTCTCGTGGTTTAAAATTTAAAGCCTCGAATCTTTTGTATCAAAAGAATCGAATGATTACAACAGAACTTTCACCATTATTAAAAATAAATCTTGAACAGAATAACCTTATGAAAAATAAAATAGAAATCTCTAAGTAACTTTTAATACGTTATCAACAGAATCTCGACATTAAACATTGTTTTATCAGCCAGTTTTAAAGATGATAAATGATTTATTTCTTTACCAAAACTCATTTTTAACGAAGGATTATCATACAATTGAAACTAATAAGGTAATAATAGTTTCAATTGATATATAAAATTAAATATACTTACTTTTCTCGAATGTCATTATGATATCTTCCTCTGGATAGATGTACCCTTTCTAAAACTAAGGCACAGTCTCTCGGATCAAATTTCTCTCTTTCTCGTATCCCTCGATTGATAGAATATGAAAAATCTAGATTAAATGTCATGAAAGCATAGACGATAATCCTGCAACAACAATAAGTAATGAATATCAAGTTAAATAATTGAGACATCGTAGACATTGCCTATCGTTACTAAAAAAAATTCTGACAGTACATCATTATATATATAATAAAAATTTTAAATACAAATGACACATTTAGAAGAAATTCACGAAATGGTAAAGAAATTTTCAGATGTGAAATTATTCCTTATTAATAAAATATTGCTATTTTTATAACAAGATTGATTGGATAAGAGAGAGAGAGAGAGAGAGAGAGAGAGAGAGAGAGAGAGAAAAAAAAAGATATTGATGAAGTACTTACTGAAAATTCATGATAATAAGCGAAATAGTTTCTAAAAGCGACAACTATTTGTTGTTTCGAACGGTCGACTGATCAATAAGTTCAGAAGTTACTCGCCTTTAAAGATGTAATTTTTTTTTCCTCCCTCCTTCTGTTTGATTTTCTGGTATTAATCAATTCAGTAACCCACCGACTAAAACAGGGCTGGGCAGATCAGGGTCAGTCGACACGGTAATGTACTGTATAGGAGGCGAGGACCAGATGTCTGTTTAAAGTAAAAGTTGATCATTTCTAGGCTAAAAATCGAGAGTAACTTTGTATATAATATCATACAAAGTGTTCTAATTTTTAATTACGAATTTGATTTTTAATCGTAAATATTTTTTTCATACGAAACAATTGATTAAAATCACCGTTTTTGCTCTAAAAGTTTTGAATTCGGTGATTATCTTATCTTTGACGATCATATTCGATATTAAAATCACGTATTCTCTGACATATTTAATGAGTAATTCTATCAATTTATTCGGAGTTTAATTTTGTTTTGGTAAAGCGAAATATTCGTCACGAATATCGATAGTAAAAAAAAAAATTCAAATTATATATTATTAAAACTTGAATATAGAGAAGATATAACCTACAAGGAAATACTTCACCTAGAGCAGGAAACAGATAAAGATCTGTCCTATTTCCTGAAAAGATAAAAATGTGAATTAATTTCTGCCTATTGACATTTCTAAAAAAAAAATTACTATTTCATCATAATTATTTAAAATATATTCACTTGTTTTTTTTTTAAAATAAGAATTGAGTTTCTGTGTTTTTAAATGGATGCTATTTCAAGTTTTTCGTTTTGAAGTTCAGTTGGACGTGCAAAAAATCATATAAATAAATAAAAATTAAAGCAGAAATGTCTAATAAGATTCGTTTTCGTTTACTTTCATCCCTCCAACAAAACAGTAAGTTAAAATTATTAATATTTTAACTTCGAAATAAATCCGAGAATTGTTTTTATTTTACAAATAAAAAATTTATTCTTTCGTATAAAGTTTTACAAGTTTTCTAACTTGATTTTAAATTAAAATAAAGTATACAGTATTAAGCTTATATTTAGCTATTACAGTCATATTTACTTAATACAATAGAGCGTCGTTTATCCGAATCAATTGGGGACTGGGGTTGTTCGGATAACTTATTTTTCGGTTAACCGATTATGTAAGAAAAAATATATTAACCTATTCCGTGTTGAAATTTTTCTCCGTTGCGTGTCGCTTCGCGTTGAATTTTCGTCGATGTTAAGCCTAACGAAGACTATTGTATC